ACCCCCTTGAAGGTTGGTGTTCCCACACACACCCAAGACAAAGACCCCCCTTGAAGGTTGGTGTTCTCACACGCACCCAAGACAAAGACCCCCTTGAAGGTTGGTGTTTCCACACGCACCCAAGACAAAGACCCCCTTGAAGGTTGGTGTTCCCACACACACCCAAGACAAAGACCCCCTTGAAGGTTGGTGTTCCCACACGCACCCAAGACAAAGACCCCCCTTGAAGGTTGGTGTTCCCACACGCACCCAAGACAAAGACCCCCCTTGATGGTTGGTGTTCCCACACGCACCCAAGACAAAGACCCCCTTTGAAGGTTGGTGTCCTCACACACACCCAAGACAAAGACCCCCCTTGAAGGTTGGTGTTCCCACACGCACCCAAGACACAGACCCCCTTTGAAGGTTGGTGTTCTCACACGCACCCAAAACAAAGACCCCCTTGAAGGTTGGTGTTCTCACACACACCCAAGACAAAGACCCCCTTGAAGGTTGGTGTTCCCACACGCACCCAAGACAAAGACCCCCTTGAAGGTTGGTGTTCCCACACGCACCCAAGACAAAGACCCCCTTGAAGGTTGGTGTTCCCACACGCACCCAAGACAAAGACCCCCTTGAAGGTTGATGCCCTCACACACACCCAAGACAAAGACCCCCTTGAAGGTTGGTGTTCCCACACGCACCCAAGACAAAGACCCCCTTGAAGGTTGGTGTTCCCACACGCACCAAGACAAAGACCCCCCCTTGAAGGTTGGTGTTCCCACACGCACCCAAGACAAAGACCCCCTTGAAGGTTGGTGTTCCCACACGCACCCAAGACAAAGACCCCCTTGAAGGTTGGTGTTCCCACACGCACCCAAGACAAAGACCCCCTTGAAGGTTGGTGTTCCCACGCGCACCCAAGACAAAGACCCCCTTGAAGGTTGGTGTTCCCACACGCACCCAAGACAAAGACCCCCTTGAAGGTTGGTGTTCCCACACGCACCCAAAACAAAGACCCCCTTAAAGGTTGGTGTTCCCACACGCACCCAAGACAAAGACCCCCTTGAAGGTTGGCGTCCTCACACGCACCCAAGACAAAGACCCCCCTTGAAGGCTGTAGCGGACGGTGGGGGACCTATGAAGGCCGGCACTGTGGCACACGAGAGGGGGTGGGTGGCCAGCACCACGCCCGGCCGCCTTTGTCTCCCCCAGTGGCGACGTTTACTACGCACCGCACCGGGTACTCGTTTCAGGCCGAGTCGACCTCGGAGAGGCCCGGGACCGGTTCGGATAATCGTCACCGGTGTTGGCCGTGAGCGGGAATCGAACCCGGGGATCGCCGGGTTCGTAGCGCGGCGTTAACGCTAAACCGCTACACGCACGTGCACACACACACGCACGTGCGTGCACACACACACACACGTGCACACACACACGCACGTGCACACACACACGCACGTACGTGCACACACACACACACACGTGCACACACACACGCACGTGCACACACACACGCACGTACGTGCACACACACACACACACGTGCACACACACACACACGTGCACACACACACACACACACGTGCACACACACACACACGCACGTGCACACGCGGGCGCACGCAGGGGCACGCCGTACCAATGAATATGCACGCTAGCAAGATATCGCGTTAAGGACATCGTCCATCGTGCGCCCGGCGCTATAGAATAACACAAAGGGCAAATACCGCCGCCCTGGGGGAGGGAGCGCGAGGAGGGGGGGGGGGGGGGGCAAGGGGGGGGTCGCACCTTTGATCGGATCCATTTCACCGTCACACAGAACCTGTGGCCATGGGGGAGGGCTGAGGGGGTAGAGGTGGAGGAGGAGGCCAGGATTGGGATCAAGACTAGAGCGAACGAACGGAGGCGGAGGCAAACTAATAAGCAATTTATTTACAAATGTTTTTATTTACGGGGAGGGGGGGGGGGTCACTGTAGCGGTGACAATTATTTACCGCGGATATCGGGAGGGCGCATCTCACGGTCCCCGCCAGCGCGAGGATCGTCGCTGATTTTTAAAAATGCATGTAATTGTTATTTAACTAGAACGATAAATATTTACGTGATTTAAAAAAAAAAATGTATCATCATCACGATCGTCGTCGTCTGCCACGTTCAATCCACTGCTGGATGAAAGCTTCCTCCCCTACCCCCCCCTCCCCCCGCTATTGTCGCAGCCGCCACCTCTCACGATCCCGTCATGTGACAATCCACCCGGAGCGGCTGGCACGCGAACAGATTTCGGCGCTCCATCTCCCCGGGGCGAGGACGTCCTCCCGGACCGCGGCCAGTCGCTCGCCTGCCGCTCCGGCATTATCGATGCGACGATCGTTGCGGATTGGTTCTACGATAATCCTCCTCTCCCCCCTAACCGCGATGGAGCGTGGCCGGACGTTTCCTCGGAGGTCGAGGGTGCCGAGAACCTAGGTGCCGAGAACCTAGGTGCCGAGAACCTAGGTGCCGAGAACCTAGGTGCCGAGAACCTAGGTGCCGAGAACCTAGGTGCCGAGAACCTAGGTGCCGAGAACCTAGGTGCCGAGAACCTAGGTTCCATTCCAGGTTTCAGCCGCCCTGTCATTAAACCGGATTCAATGCGAGCCGACGGTCTCAGCCCGGTCGCAAAAGACTGAACACGCAGCAGCAGCAGCAGCAGCAACAACAGAAAACCCAAGCGCGCTACCCATCTACAGATGGACACAGATGGCGGTAAGTCCCCTTGCTGTTCTGCTAACGCGCGTATCTCGCCAAGATCTAAATACAGAGGCCAGCAGAGAGGTGGTGAAGGCGTGGGTGTGGAGGGGTGAGGGTGTGGGTTTCAGAAGACCTCACACGCACGCCTTGGATGAGAACCGCAATTTAAAAGCACGTTTCCCTTTTGAAAACAACAACAACAGGGTTTTAAATTAGCGCGTGCACATAGCGATGCAACGCGATAAGCTACCGAGTCACAGACGAAGCCGCCTTGGCAATGACGAAGAATTACCAAAGTCTTACCGCGCAAACGCATTTTATTCCACGTAAAGTATTACCGAATGAAGTCGTTCCTGTTAAAAGTAGAATTACGAATCGGGAGCGAGCCGGGCCCTGCGCCCGCCGCCCCAGGGGCTGGACGTGCGTCATTATTCCCGGTGACCCGAGCCGAGTTATTTCGCTCACGGCAGCTGCGGAGAGCATTAAAAATTAATTACTCCGTCAAAAAACGAGAATCAAAAAAATCCCATCGAAGGATAACTTCTGAGCCCTCCCCCCCCCCCCTTTTAAAAATAGCATTATTGAAGTGGTTTATTGCAAATGCTCTTTATTTTTATTTACAAACCTCACGAGAGATATACAAACACCCAGTGGGGGCATGGTTCTCGTTGACAAATGTGATAAATTGCGCCCAGTGTGCCACATTTAGAATTTAAATATTCAGCTTGTTCAGAGAGACTGCACTCAGTCACCCACCAAACCACCCACACCCCACCCACACCTCACTCACACCTAATCTACACCCCACCCACACCCCATCCACACCCCACCCACCCCCCACCCACACCCCACCCACACCCCACCCACACCCCACCCACACACACACCCCATCCACACCACACCCACACCCCACCCACACCCCACCCACACTCACCCCACCCCCCACCCACACCCCACCCACACCTCACTCACACCCACACCCCACCCACACCCCACCCACACTCACCCCACCCACACCTCACTCACACCCCACCCACCAAACCACCCACACCCCACCCACACCTCACCCACACCTCACCCAAACCCCACCCACCCCCCCACACCCCACTCACACCCCACTCACCCTCCCACCCACACCCCACCCACACCCACCCACACACACCCACCCACCGACTCGCTGACCCTAACCTTAAATGTCAACTGGCTCATTTATTTTGCGGCAGCTCGAAAGGTGGGGGTGATTGGCCGGGCAGGTGGGCAGGTGGGCAAGTGGGTGGGCAGGTGGGTGGGCAGGTGGGTGGGCAGGTGGGCAAGTGGGTGGGCAGGTGGGTGGGCAGGCAGGCGGGTGGCGCACAAGCGTAAGGAAAAAGGCACAGCCCTGCAAGCGCTTGTTCGCAACCACAACCAGCGGAAGGGCCTTCATTGCGACGTGAGCTGCCCTTCCACGGAGGCCGGACGTCTTGGGAATAGCCACACGTCACGCACCCGGCCACCATTACCGCTCGGTGGACGAAAGCGGCGGTGGCGGTGGGGGAGGAGGGGGTTCCAGAATCCCGGAACCGCCGATTCGACCGCCGAGCCGAGCCGAGCCGTCGACCAATTTACCACCACGCGGCAGCGGGCACGGACGCGGGCCTGGCCCGTGCGGTAGGCCCAGCCGTCATCGCAATCCAGGGGACACCCCCTTGTTTGTTTGTTGTTGTCGTCGTTGAATATTTCAGGAGGTGCGATGCTGGGAGGGGACGCTGCGCGTGGACAGGGAGGCGGTGAGTGACAGATTCACGGAGCGAAGTGGTGACCCCCCCCCCCGCCCCCCCCCCCGTGGCCGTCGAGAAGTGCACGCTGGGAGTGACGATGATCATGATGATGATGACATTTATGACAAGATGATGATACTGTTGACAAGATGACGATGATAATAAAGGTGATTATAATGATTATAACATTGATGACAAGATGATGATGATACTGTTGACAAGATGGTAATGATGAGAAGATGATGATGATGACACTGTTGACAAGATGACGATGATAATGACGGTGATTAAAATGATCATGACATTGATGACAAGATGATGATGATGATGAACATAACGGCTACAGCAATAACGACGAAGACGATGACCGCAATGGACGATGGCGACGCCTCCGTCAAGGCCGACGGCCAGACGAAACCCACGCGGGCGGTCTCCACCGCCTCACCGCGCTAGCTAGCCACAACCAAACTACCCCCACCGGTACATCGACGCGCAAGCCGGCGGCCGTGCCGCGACCGTCCACGGGCTCACCGTCGGGCGACAGCTCCCCGTCCGCGATGCAGAAGATGCTGCCCAGCTCGAGCTCATCCTCCTCCTCCTCCTCCTCCTCGTCGGCGTCGTCGTCCCACGACCGCGCCGGTGCCTCCGTGCCGCTCTTCCTCCTCCTCCTCCTCCTGGCGCTTCGTCTCGCCGCCGCCGCCGCCGCCGCCGTGTCGTCATCGACGCGGTCGTCCGGTCGTTCTTGGTCGTCGTCGTCGTCGAGCTGCTCCTCCTCCTCCTCCTCGTCGTCGTCGTCGTCGTCGTCGTAGCAGTCGTCCGACGCGGAGCCCGAGGGCGCCGGGCGGCGGAGGAGAGCGCGGAGCGAGCCCTCGCGCCGCCGGTGCTCGCCGGAGCGAGCGTGCCGCACCAGGCCCAGCTTGTCGAGCGCCGAGCAGGCACAGATGGTGCAGTGGAAGGAGCGCGGCGACGGAGGCGCCGGCGGTGGCTCGCCGTGCGGCGGCGGATTGGCGGCGCTCTGGGCCTCCAGCCGCTGCAGGTGCTGGGAGCGGGCGGCGATGGGAGGTAGCGGCGATGGGAGCGGACGACGATGGGAGCGAGGGGATGATGGGAGCGGGGGATGATGGGAGCGAGCGATGATGGGAGGGAGTGATGATGGGATGATGGGAGCGAGGGATGATGGGATGATGGGAGGGAGTGATGATGGGATGATGGGAGCGAGCGATGATGGGAGTGATGATGGGATGATGGGAGCGAGGGATGATGGGATGATGGGAGCGAGGGATGATGGGAGTGAGGGATGATGAGATGATGGGAGCGAGGGATGATGGGAGGGAGTGATGATGGGAGGGAGTGATGATGGGAGCGAGGAATGTTGGAGCGAGGGATGATGGGAGCGAGAGATGATGGGAGCGAGGGGATGATGGGAGCGAGGGATGATGGGAGCGAGCGATGATGGGATGATGGGAGCGAGGGGATGATGGGAGCGAGGGATGATGGGAGCGAGCGATGATGGGATGATGGGAGCGAGGGATGATGGGAGCGAGGGATGATGGGAGGGAGTGATGATGGGAGCGAGGGATGTTGGAGCGAGGGATGATGGGAGCGAGAGATGATGGGAGCGAGGGATGATGGGAGCGAGGGATGATGGGATGATGGGAGCGAGGGACGATGGGATGATGGGAGCAAGGGATGATGGGAGCGAGGGATGGTGGGAGCGAGGGATGGTGGGAGCGAACAACGATGGGAGCAGAGCGCATGTGCGCGCCCGTAGACATACACGTGCGTACGGGCGCACACACGCACACGCACGCACACAAGCGTGGAGAGGAATACACAAATACGTGCGCACAAGCAGGTACGCGCGCACACACACACGCACACACAAAGAGAAACGCACGGACACAGATACACACGTCACGCGGGTAAGCACAGAGGCATCACGAACACGCGAGCACCGGTGGGGCTCTCACAGAGCTCCGTGAGCGTGAACACATCGCTGCCGTGCGTCTGGAATCTAACCAAGAGCCACTGGGGAAAGGTTTCGCTCGTGTCAAGGCACTCCCGGCTCTCAGTGCGGCTGCGCCCACGTTTCCTGAATTAACGGGACGAATTCTGTGACGCTGCTGCTGCTGCTGCGTCGGCAGGGGTGCACAAGCACAGACAATAACGACAACAACGACGTCAATAGCTCTGTGCGGCCCCCAGAAATGGCAGAGTTGGTCTACAATAGGCGACGTTTCGGGCAGTCGTCCTCGACGTTTCGCTGGTATCCAGTGGCCCGATGTCAATGTCGGGGTTTGCTGCCGCCGCTGCTGCTGCTGCTGCTCGCCACGACGAGAGGGCTTCAGCAGAGAGGGAGACAGCCAGACCGAGAGGTCGTGTCGCTCTTCCTCCACTCCAGGAGGGGCAGACGCCAGTGGGTTTTGGTGGCATGGCCACAATCTCACTCCTGTGGCTCGTCTTTAATGGGTCTCTATGGGTCTCTATGTATCTCTATGGGTCTCTATGGGTCTATATGGGTCTCTGGGTTTACTGTGTGGTCCATAGTCTGGGAACATGGCCACAATCGCACTACTGTGGCTCGTCTTTAATGGGTCTCTATGGGTCTCTATGTGTCTCTATGTGTCTCAATTTGTCTCTATGGGTCCCTATGGGTCTCTATGGGTCTCTATGTGTCTCTATGGGTCTCTATGGGTTTACTATATAGTCCATAGTCTGGGAACATGGCCACAATCACACTACTGTGGCTCGTCTTTATGGGTCTCTATGGGTCTCTATGGGTCTCTATGTGTCTATATGTGTCTCTATGGGTCTCTATGTGTCTCTATGGGTTTCTATGGGTTTACTATATGCTCCATAGTCTGGGAACATGACCACAATCACACTACTTTGGCTTGTCTGTAATGTGTCTCTATGGGTCTCTATGTGTCTCTATGGGTCTCTATGGGTCTCTATGGGTTTACTATATGGTCCATAGTCTGGGAACATGGCCACAATCACACTACTTTGGCTTGTCTGTAATGTGTCTCTATGGGTCTCTATGTGTCTCTATGGGTCGCTATGTGTCTCTATGGGTCGCTATGTGTCTCTATGGGTCTCTATGTGTCTCTACGGGACTCTATGGGTTTATTGTATGGTCCATAGTTTTGGTTGTATGGGCCACAATCGCACTGCTGTGGCTTGTCTGTAATGTATCTCTATGTGTCTCTATGGCTCTCTATGGGTCTCTATGGGTCTCTATGTGTCTCTATGTGTCTCTACGGGACTCTATGGGTTTATTGTATGGTCCATAGTTTTGGTTGTATGGGCCACAATCGTACTGCTGTGGCTTGTCTGTAATGTATCTCTATGTGTCTCTATGGGTCTCTATGGGTCTCTATGTGTCTCTACGGGACTCTATGGGTTTATTGTATGGTCCATAGTTTTGGTTGAATGGGCCACAATCGCACCGCTGTGGCTTGGGTTTAATTTCTCATTCACATCGTCAGCAGGCAGGCACCGGTGCCTGCCTGCTGACGACGTTCCGCTGGCGGTTTGACGCAGCAACAAAAAAATAAAACATCTACACAAACTATTTGCAGAGCGAACACGTCCGTCAACCAACGCTGCGGACCCTTAAAATGAAGAGTAGGCAACGGCCGGCGTTTCGGGCGATGGCCCTCGACGCTCCACGCGGACAGCGCTCGGTCGCCCGTCGTCGTTCGACACGGCTACGGCGCGACGGTCGTCAATTTGTCCGTTCGGGGCCCCTGGATCCGTGCGCGGGATCGACGTGTGGGTGAGCACGCTCGTCGCGTACACGGCGTCGTCACGCCCACGCGTCATCGTCGTCGTCGCCACCGCCATCTTCGTCGTCATCATCGTTCCCAATTGTTATCACCGTCGTCCCCATCGTCGTCATCGTCGTCGTCGTCCTCGTCGTGATCATAGTCTATCGCCACACACACACACACGGCTCAGCCTTGCTCAGTTGACCCCGAGTAACCTTGCCCCACGTGACCACCGCTATCACGCGAACCATCCCCCAGACGTACAGCGCCCACCGCCACATGCCGCCCGGTCAGTACGTGCCCCCCTTGTGCACGAGGTCGAGGTGATTCAAGCCACGACTTTCCTCTGGCTGTCGGCCACGGGTAAAACTTCCGGTTTGGCCAACTCCCCGCAGACTCTTCAGACTCGGCGACGATTGGACCGCGGATTTAAACTTCACCCCTTTTTTTTGTTTGTTTTACGGCCACAGCGCCCCTCCGGGTCCGGTCGTGGGCAAATGCGACGGCAACACGTGCCCGGCGAGTGCCCGGGTCGCGACGAGCACGTTCTGCCCGCAAAGCGGCGAACCTCTCTCTCTCTCTCTCTCCGATTGGCTGCGGCTGCGGCGGCTGCGGGGGAGCGAGCGCACGTTCACGTTCAGGCGAAGGCACGCAAACCAAAACATCGCGAATGATATTGGTCGCGGGAGCGACTACCACGTGCACATCTTTTTGCTGTCATCTCGCGCCAAAGTCGGCGAATTCCCGCCGGCGATTTACGCCCTGAAACTTGTAACGCGTCGTGCCGAGCATTGGCCACGGTGGAGCGAAAGTCAGTGCCGCGCCGCTCCCGGCACAGGCTCCCGGCACAGGCTCCCGGCACAGGCTCGCGGTAAGCTCGCGCGGTGGTTCGTGTGCTGTTCCTATCGTCGTCGTCATCAATGGGTGGGTGGGTGGGGGGTCGCTCCTTCTCCTCTGCTGCCTCTCATAACCTGCGCATCGAGATTCGGAATTGCTAATTGTTAACGGAAGCGTTTTCCTCGCAGCGACTTTCAGCAGGGGTTTAGACTCGTACGTTAACGGGCTTGCAAAATGGTCCACTCGCACGGTTTTTAATTTGGGGGCTGTGGTTGAAAAAAAAATCTCTTCCAGTTCTCTCCAAAACAGACCGGGGGGGGGGGGGGGGGCTGGGGGCGCACGACCGCTTGCCGAGATTTCCGAAGGGATTCCTTCACCCCCCCCCCCCCCCCCCCCCCCCCCCCCCGGTGACGAGACGGCGAATAAAACAAAAATCTGACGGACGGACAGACGAACAGATAGAAAATGAACGGTGTAAAGAAAAAAATATTTCGTTAAACAAACACGAAAAAAACGGTTCACTGAAGGCACCCCCCCCACCCACCCCGCCACGCCTCTCGTCTAACTCTCCGGCTTTCAGAGAAAACACGCGATGATAAAAACGGACCAACCCACGTCGACCCCCGGGAGGGGGGGGGGCCCGGCTGAGAAAAACCTTCCCCCTAAGCCCTCGCTCCGTATCGTTTCCTGACCCGAGCGGGGCCTCTGGTTTTTTTTTTGTCCCACGAAATACCCCAGAGGGCAAAGAAAACAAATGTCGTCACCTGACTTCGGACCTCGCGCGTGTTTGTTTAAACACCTGTGCCCTATTACCGGCCAAAGTGTCTGGCTAGACCTCTCCGTCCCACGTGAGATGTTGTGGCCTGTGTGTGTGTGTGTCGGTGTGTGCGTGTCAGTGTGTGTGTGTCAGTGTGTGTGTGTCGGTGTGTGCGTGTCAGTGTGTGCGTGTCAGTGTGTGTGTCGGTGTGTGTGTGTCGGTGTGTGCGTGTCAGTGTGTGTGTGTCGGTGTGTGTGTGTGTGTGAATGTGTGTAGTGCAGCGGTTGGCGCTACGCTGCGCGATGAACCCGGCGACCCGGGATCGATTCCCGCTCACGGCCAACACCCAGTGACGATTATCCGAACCGGTCATGGGCCTCCCCCCTAGGTCGACTCAGCCTCAAATGAGTACCTGGTTGCGATGTGTAAACATCCCCACTGGGGAGACAAAGGCGGCCGGGCGTGGTGCTGGCCACCACGAGGGGGTGCCCTCGTGTGCCACGGTGCCGGCCTTCATCGGTGCTACTCGCTAACAGCACTTGCCCCAACAGTCTGTCGCAGGCTATACGGGGGATCTTTGTTTGATCTTTGTATGTGCGGAGCGGTGGCGCAGCGGTTAGCGCGCTCGCAGAGACGAAACCCGGAGATCGCCCCCCCCCACATACGGACCCCCCC